GAGGTAAAATTAAAACTTATTAAAAAATTAGGTAATAAAAGTACCGTCAGTTATTTTCTCTAAAATTTGCTACACAAAATGTGTTTTTAAGAAGTGTAGCAAAATTTTTCATTAAAACAAAGTATACTGGGAATTCGCATATGACTTTTAGTACCCTGGTAAATGTCTTATTACTACACAAAAACAACCAGTTATCTAGCAGGTTTCCTTACTTCCCTTACCTTGGCAAACCGCACTATTTTTTCGTCCGGCTCTTTTACCTATCTCTTTTTTATCACTTCTAACCGCTGCTTTATTTTCCAGCCGCTTCCGCCTCAACTTCACTACAATCTAGCATTCTGACGTTTCTATGTAGTTCTAGTGCTATCTCTCTATTCTAATCTCACCGGTAATGAATACTTAACAAAGCTGAGACATAACAATGTAAACGTATATATAGGTACTAGCAAAAAAATCTTCCAGTTTGTATGATTTCAAAATGGATACCATCAAGACATCTATCATTTCAAGTCATAGGTCAATGAACGATGATTCAAAAGAAAACAAGAATTTTAACATTAACATACACATCATATACAAATATTGTGTATCAATTGCAGCTCGTAACTTTTTTATTAACAGATTTTAATGTTTCTTTTCTGTCGCCTCTCTGATATTTCAAAATAATATAAACGCAGTAAGTAAAAAAAGGCTTTCGCTATTCATTTAAGCGCAAATTCTGGCGCAATCAAAATTGCAAATATTTGTATTTGTATCCGTTTTTTGATATGGGAGCGGCAAAAATAGTTGAACGGAAATTTATGACAATAAAAATTTTAAAGTTTGCCTGTTAATTTTATACAGTGTGTCCAATTAAGTCGGCACCATATGGGAAACTTTTTTATTATTGGTTTTATGAAAAAAAGTTATTCTTGATAAAAAGTTCTGCATGGCCTAAAACCCAAAACGAAGCAGTCAGATTTCAATTTTTGTAGTCGTACAGTCGTTTGTCTAAAAATGATCAAGAGTAAAGTACCTTTATTTTTTACAATATCTACAATCGTTATTAAGAAAAGATTATCCTAATAGAAAACTACTGTCAGATATCCAATATTATCTATAGAAGATATATAGTTAAGGGTAAAATTTCTAAAAAAAAAGTTTTCGTGAAAATTGCAGCAGTTCTGTAATGTGCTCGAATAGTTCTTACTATTTCGTGCAAAACGCGTCGCTCTAGACATCCTATTTGCGGAAATGTCGAATTTAGTTAAAGCAGTTTTTGAGAATTATGAAATGTGGTGAAAATAACATTTTTTTTCTGGTGAATACGGCGACAGATCTCCATTGTGCAAGAGTAATGCAAATCACGTCGCTCTGACTACTCTAATTGCGGAGATATCGAATTTAATTAATCCCAACAGTTTTTGAAAATTTCGAAACAGGTAGTTCTGGTGAATATGACAGCAGTTCTGCATTGTGCTCGAATAATTCTACTATTTCCTGCAAACCACGTCGCTTTAACTGCTCACATAGCGGAGATACCGAATTTAATTCATTTAAGGAGTTTTCGAGAGAGTTTTTATGAAGCTTGAAAAGTTCTGGTGAAAATAATAATGGTTATGCATTGTGCTCGAACTCTTCTACTATTTCCTGCAAACCATGTCGCTTTAGCCGCTGTAGTTCGGGAAATATCTAATTTAATTAATTTAAATAGTAATTATGAATTTCGAAATGTGGAATTCTGGTGAAAATAACAACAGTTCTGCATTGTGCTCGAATAGTTCTACAATTTTGTACAAACTGCGCAGTTGCAGCTGCTTTAGTTGGGGAGATATCGAATTTAATTAATTTAAGGAGTTTTTATGGGACTTGAAAAAGGGAGTTCTGGTGAAAATAGCAGTAGTTCTGCATTGTGCTGAAATAGGTCTACTATTTCTTGCAAACCGCGTCGCTTTAGTTATCCTAGTTGCGGAGATATTGAATTTAATTAATTTAAGCAGTTTTTGAGAATTTCGAAATAGGGAATTCTGGTGAATATAATAACAGTTCTGCATTATGCTCGAATAATTCTTCCATTTCATGCAAACCACGTCGCTCTAGCTGCTCTAATTGCAGAGATATCGAGTTTAATTAATTTAAGAAGTTTTTATGAAACTTGGAAAAGGGAGTTCTGGTGAAAAAAGCAGCAATTTTGCATTGTGTTCGAATAGTTTTACTATTTCGTGCAAAGTACCTCGCTTTAGTCATTCTAGTTGCGGTGATATCGAATTTAATTAATTTTAGCAGTTTTCGAGAACTTCGTTATTTTGAATTCTGGTGAAAATAATAATTCTGTATTGTGCTAGAATGGTTCATGCCAAAAGCGTTGCTCTAGCTGTTGTTGTTGCAGAGATATTGAATTTATTCATTAATTTTAGGAGTTTTATGAGACTTGAAAAGGGGAGCTCTAGTGAACAAATTAGCATTTCATGCATTTCCGGTAAAGAACTATTCTAAGATTCTAACATGAAAGTTTATATCTGACGCCTTCCAGAATCGAAAGATCGGCAGATGCACTACAATAGAGTGACCAGCTCGGTGACCAGACTTAACACCTCTCGATTTTTTATGACTGTTCTTGTTTTAAAAATATATTTAGGTAGCTACTGGTACTCTTATCTATTACATAAAAGGAGAGGTGGTTTTCATATGCAAATGTTGAATGCAATTGAATTTTTAAAAAGATTTTTTGCTTTTTTTTATTTTTAAATCCTAAAAATAATATTCTTACAAAAAGTTTATTACATGTCAAGTATACAAATATCCAGAAATATTTGTTTGTAAGTCAAGGTTGAAATTATTCATTATATCCTAGAATTTATTTTGTTAATTAAAATAACAAAATAACAAGTCCGGAAATTAGTTTCACTTTTATTTTCTTCGTTTCATTGGAAAACGTACCTTTAGAAAATTTAAAAAGCTGTTCTCTTTAAGAGATGTAGACAATTTAATTAGGTAGGTAGATACTTTTATTGTGAGATTGACTAATTAAGTTCATACTGAAATAACTTGCTAATCAATATTAGAAATGAAACTGAAAATGTAGATAAAAATATCTCCTATAAGTTTGCCAAGCTCGTGTCAAAAATGGATGAAGTGGAAAAATATAGATGGATCATCAATTTACGTAAAACCTAACACATTTATTGTTATCACATTTTTGATAAAATTGTTTATCAATAACCTACTCACGTTACCTGATGGGTATTTAGACTTATCTTTTTAATCATAAAATAATGATGCTATCAATAATCAAAGACATATGTACAATAAACATAAATATTCCAACTCGCTATTTTATAAGACGCCAAACACAAGTGTTAAAAAATACTGAAAACATTCTGAATTATTATTCCCAGAATAGTTTTTGTTTATATGTAGGATCCGTACCCTACTTATGGAAATATACCTACGTCGTTTTAATAAAGTAGGGAAAACGTCGACTATAACGTTGTACAGCTATAAAAAAAAAATTGATGTAATGCGTGTTTAAATGTTTATGAAATTTTTCTAGGTTTTTTCAACTTCGCTATTAGATATTCATTAACAATCGAGTAAACAACCATATATCTAAGTAGGTAGACAATTATATTTTTTCTTGGAATAAATAAGCTTTCGAAAAACAAACTGGATTCTCTACTTACTAATAATGCATTTGAAATAAAAATTATAAAATTATAGGTAATACCTTTTAAGTCAAACCTCACAATGTGGAACCAGCCCTATAAGTATATATAGGTACTTAGCTACATTTTTTTTGAGAAATATTACTTATGCATATCATGTCGACTAAGATGCATAAAATACCAAAAAATATTATCTTTGTACAGTTTAATTAGGTGTTTACCTATTACAACATACCTACCTACCTACCAATAGCAGTTTTTATTACTATAAGCAGGAACCCCAAGCAATTTATTCAAAATTAACATTCCTCACAAATTTACTCTGTAACTAGCAATTAACGATTATATGGATTTCCATTCATATTGTGTAATTTGTCGGAGTGCCAGCTCAACAGAGACCTGGCTGGTCTTACGAGTTAAAAATTGAGGTGGCGTTCATTAAATACAGTAATTTCTGGTTCTCTACAAAGTTTCCAATACAGACCTCCCAAATTTTTTAGGACAGATAATACCTACCTAGGTACGTTCGACGTGGTACCTATACGCACCAGGTGAATTATAATTAATAATTGTAGTAACCTAGGTAATATGAAAAATATATTAAATTAAAAATACTAATTAAGATAAATAGGAATATTGGAGTTGGCACTTTTTTATTATGTAATTACCTACTTAGTATATCTACCTATAAAATTAACCTATACTAAATATTTTAAGTATCACAGTAGGTACTTATCTACCTATAGGTAAATGATTAAATATTTGCAATTAGGTATCAACTTAAATACCATAATTTTTTTGTTTTGATACCTAGGTAATTTTATTATAAATCGATCGCATTAAAATCGATAAAGTAGAAACACTCACTACCAACTATGACTCAGTTTCAGGTAGTTACACGTTACACGTCGATACCTATTTAAAATAGAAATATATGTTTATATCAAGGAAATTATGTCGTACATTTGCACAAGTTTGTATATATAGATATATAACTTAACCCTCCCTAAATTAGGGGAAAAATTTTATAGCCATTCCAAAATAATATTACCAAAAATAAAAACGTTCGTTAAGTTCTACAACAGCGTTTGTTTATACGCCTACAAGTGTAAAAATAGGAAGCATAAATAAAATTACGACATTCTGGAATCTGGACGGGCAGGGGTGGGTGGTGTCCCGAAAAGCTTACGTAAAATATTGAAGGGAAGAAAAAATAATTCAGAACGGACTCACTGCATCAAGGAACACCCTGGAGGTGGTTCAAAGCTAAAAACACATAAAAAAACACAAAACACAAAACAAAACACATCTACTACGATCCTGGAAATGAAAATAGTAATCCTATTTGGTATTTACCGTTTAAAATGTTCTCGTATTCGATCTTCTCGTATATTATCGGGTAAATTTCCTACCCACAAGTGTCTAGTCTCTCTGACCATTTTGCCCTAAACACCACATTGAGAAATTTTTGTTTTTTGGCGCACAAACACTATTTCACAAAAAAACACAGCCGTTTTAACTTCATCTTGATGTCGACGCACCTGAAACGTGTAAACTTCGTTTTGCACACAACACCACCTCACATAGCGACACTCACTTATTTTAAAACACTAAATTTATTATTTTTCTCATTTGTTTCACTTATTTTTTTACACTTTTACACTGTGCGAGCGTTATTCACTTCATTTTCGCTCTACACAACATACTGGGAGCGCGGCTTGAAAATGTTGTATTGCTCCGCCTTGTGCTCGAAGGGGATCTAATCCCCGACGTACCGTCATCTCCATGCCCCCGACGAAGACAACTACAATAGTAGGTCGCCACTACACCGTACGATTTCGTGTACCACGCTATAGCTTTCCTTTATATTTCATCTCTGTTCACTGGACTTTTCGGTCGCTTGCGACTCACTACTATTCGACCTAAAAATATATAAATATTCTTGGAACAATTATTATCCTATAATGTTTGTTTTCATTTATTTCTGCTTGGAACATATCACCGAAGGTTTGTGGAATTATTCAAACTTCCCTAGTTTATAGAAAAATATTAAAATACCTTTTAAAACCTATAAAATGGTTACCTAACATGAAATATATTTAACATAACATACCTACCTACCTACCTACCTACCTACATTACCTTATGTACGTAATGCAGGATAAATCTCGTTTGTAAATTTTTATTTATGTAAATAGGCATTATACCAATTCCTGCCTTACAAGCAGTCAAAAATATTACAGAATTAGCTAATAGAAAACTCTAACGGAGAAAACAGCTGTGGACAGCGAATAAAACATTTTATTGAAGTATTATTCACATATTTATAAGCTTAGGAATTAAGCTATTACACCCTGAAGTCTAAATACCTATATGTTTATTTTTTTTACAGAGAAATGCCATTGAAAGTAAATCATAAAAACGTCGAATGCCTAAAATAACGCGTTGGCTTTGGATCACATGAACCTTTTTAGGACGCATAGTAGGCTGTTTTAATTGAGGCTTGGCCGAGTCTACTTTCTCGAGGGGTGGGTACGGTTGTGTTGTTTAACAACGGTATATACAAAATTCAGTGCATTCTGGCACAATGGTTATTCTTTCCAAACGTATCCGTACAATTATATTGTGTTGAAGCACTATAAAATGTTCCAGTACAAGAAACAAGTGCGATTGTTTTTGGTTCTTAAGATTTCACATACCTCTAGCCTCTAGGAACCTACAACCTACAACCGATATCATATTTCAATGACGCATTTTCCAGTTCAGAATAGGGAGTTCATTCTTCTCTTAACACAACTAATTATTAAAATCAGTAGGCACTCTTCAAGATATATATCTATTGAAGTAGGTACCTAGGTGGATACGCATTATTGACTTCTAAAATTTCCAAAACAGTAAAGTATTTAGCTAATTCGATTCTAGATGAAATTACGTGGGTATTTACGATGCCAAATAGTTTCTAGTACACAAGTAGATAGGTAGGTACAGCATTTATATTTTGAACAAGCAGAACAGTTAAACATGGGCAATTCAATATTTCGATATAGTCTTATTCCTTCAACAGATAGAGTATAATAATTATTAGTCACACTGTAGTTTTTGTAGCTTTAGTCTAGTTTTTATAAATTTATACCCACTAGGTAGGTACTTCTCGATTTGATACACCTTCCACTGCGTACTAGAACAAAGTAAAATGGCTGTTTTCCTGTTTCGTTTCACTGCCCAGCCCGTGTGCCTACGTGACTCGTTCAAGGTGAAAAACTTAAAAAATCGATAAAGTTACTTGCGGCCACCTAGTGGCGGATGAATTAATTGCAGTGGAGTTACATGAAATAAAATAGATTTCTGTCATTAGTTGAGAAGCCAATGAGAATTCTCTGTAAAATGTATTGATCAATTTGTTAATTCAATACGCCAGGAATAGATGGACGGAGATAATAAAGGGTGAGTTCATTATGTGATTTTTGATTTTATAGTCACTGGTACAGGCTACCTAATACTTTATGTACCTACTTTAGTGAAATTTTATCACTACCTATTTAGTTATATCACCAGCCGAAGTTTAATTAATCTTTCAAAATATTTGAGCGCACTGAGATTTTTTAAAAAAAATTTAATATTCTTTGTCTCGAAAACTAAGCCTATTAAAACACATACTTATTTACATATATGAATAGTTTCCTTAAAATGATCCAAATAGACATCGCCTTTTCCTTTTGTTATCGAAATTATACCGTCTATCTTAATTTTGTACCTACCTAAATACCTATAACTTTCATTTGTAAAAATGTGCACGGCATATACAACAAAACTGTTGACTTAATTGTAGATATATAAATATCGGCAATAATACATTGTTCCTATCTAAATATATTATTGTATAGGTAGGTATACACATTATTTGTATAAATAAAACGAAAAACTTCAAGGGAGATAGAACTCATGGAAAAATTGGTGGTGTTGGTTGTTAAAACATGTCTGTAAAATGTTTTTGAGTAGGTATGTAAAAAAATTACTTAATAGTATATTACGTAATAAGTGTTGTAAAAAGCATTTTACGCACGAATGGAAAAGCTACGCACGACGCCGCGTAGCGGCGAGTGCGTAATTCTATGAGTGCGTAATTGCATTACACCACGTATTACGTACTATACCTACGAGCACTACTTTAAATACTTAAAAACACATCGTCTGCGATCAATGCAAGATTCCTATTACGTCGTACGGTAAAAAAAAACGCACAGCTTGGTAAAAAAATCGTACAGTTTCCTAGCAACCGCCTAGCAACGGTCAATACAAACAGTATTGTATTGGCTGTTGCTAGGCGGTTGCTAGGAAAACTGCGATTTTTTTACCGTACGTAATAGGAATCTTACATTGATCGCAGACGGTGTGTTTTTAAGTATTTACAATAGTGGTCGTAGTTAAAGTTTTAAATACGACACTTTCTTATCATTAGTCCCATGACATTATCAAACTTTATACCTTTTTTCTGAAAAAAAATCTATTTGTTTTAATGATTCAGTTCATAGGTAGGTACTTAATAAAATTAATTATTAACATTTGAAAATTACAAATCTTAACAGATCACGTTTTTTCAAATTTAAAGAAATTTCTAAATAATTTTCTGCACATTTGAAAACAATTTTCCAGTAGTCTTTTTTTTTAAATACACTTCTTTTTTTAATTTATTAATAAATACTTACAGAGTATACAATTTCATAAGTCATATTAACACTGTCTTTTATTTTTAATGTGAACACTTTATTGTCATATTTCAAGTCTCAAGTGCATTTCGAATTTCACACAACTTCAGAATTTGACTTATTTAGCCGTTTGCAGAGCCTCTACGCGCGAAAACCCAGCCAAAAGTAGTTGCCAATGCTGGAGAGCATCTATTCGACCATCTCTGCGAAGCAGAAGCCGCTAAGAAGAAATCGAAATTTTTACCTATGTCGAATTAAACTGTCGAAACTTTTCTCAAAGCCCTAAACAGCTTCAAACTTTCAAAGCCGCAACAGACAACTTCAGGACAGCCAGACGCTGATGTGCTGTTGGCCGAGCGACCGACGACTACCTCAGATTCGAATTTTTCTTCAAAAACGCCAGGAATGCTACAAAATTCGAGTTGGGATACGACATCAAGTTGACCCAATTCCAAGACGGGGAAGTCAATGCAGAACATTGTTAAAAATTTGTTGAGAGCGTTTCTGTGCCTGTGGTGAAAATCCTAAGAGGTAGAGCGACAGTTGTAGCGCCTCCTGCATGCTATGAGAAACCGGAAAAATTCTGGGGGCTTCTGGTACCTGTCGATGCTGCGAATTGACAATTTTGAAAATTAGTGACATACAGGACGTTGGCAGTTACCTACCTACTTGTTTCAATACCTGACACCAAGACGGGCATTTCAAGAAAATTAAATAGAAGAAGGATTTTGCGTGAATGCTGTTGAAATATGCAGAAAATATATTTCTCTGCGCCCAATTCGCCAGATTCTATTTAAGATACATCAATCAAAAATGTACTTCTCAACCTGATGGAATGAACACATTGGCGAAGGTACCCTCAATAGTAACTTCATTCCTGAATGAAATCCAGGAATATACTCGTATACTGGCCAACTTTATTGGCCAATGAAGATGCTGATCTTACAACCATCAAACGGTATGGTGAATTATAGCAGAAAGTTATGTTGAGGAGTCTATATCTAACAAAAACTTGATATTGCAAGGAAAATCCAAGGAAAATATAGCTGTTCCTTACAAGAAATGACATCCATAACTTGTGCAAATTCTTCACAAACTTCGGCAGATGTTATGCGATCCGAAAATGCCGGCAATAATGCTACAAGGGTTGTTATTAACGGAAAGGAAGTTAAATGTGATAAAACAAAAAACGAAATGTCTACTATAAATGTAAATGTTAATGTTAATAAGTAAATAAATTAAATTTGATTTATTATAGGTTTATTATTTTTCATTATTCTACTAGTGAAATAAAGTTACTTTTATTCCACTAGTGGATAAAAAAAATATAGATGTGCTGATACATAGATATGAATAAACCTTGATACAAATCCAGATATATGAAGAATTAATTTTTTTTATTTTAACATCTTGTTTCTTTGCAGACATATGTTTATATGAACTCTGATATTAATTTTTGATGTACATTATAAAAATTTAGTCTAGTATTGGTTACAAGTTATTATGCATCAATGTTTCTATTTTATTAAAATGACCCTGGATTGAATTGGAACCTGCATGAGCATATTGGGTTGGCAAAAAGTGAGAGAAAATTTGCGAAAAGACGTTATAGAAAAATCTCATTCCATGCCATTCGATTCGAAACTGAAAAACTATATTTGGATACGAAAAATAATCAAAGTAATCTTAATTAATTTACCTACTACCTGATGAACCTTATTATTATGTCTTTAATTAACAAATTATGTAGATAATGTATAATCAAATCATGCAACTCTGTACTAAAGTACAGATTACCAATTCAATAAAAACCTGCCCGAGCGGTTCTTATAACGACTAAAGGGTAAGCAAAAAAAGGGCGCGAAAACGTATGGAACAACGTTTTTCGGTCAGTGTAATCGTGTTAATCGCTTGTGGCATATGGCGTTTGAGACGATTCCGATATTTTCTTCTAAGGAAAAATTTGCTGCTTGTGTAAAAATTGTGTACTGTGTTTGTGT